AGGAAGGAAGGAAGGAAGGAAGGAAGGAAGGAAGGAAGGAAGGAAGGAAGGAAGGAAGGACAAGAAATCTGATGAAGTCTAGTCTGTGGTGTGGTCTTGGTGGGGAATATCCCTGGTGGGTGCCTCCCTGGGATAAGCAGTATCTCCGGGGAGTAGGCCATTCTCTTCTGCATGGAGACACAGCCTTCAGGCCTGAACTTTCGCCCTTCAGAAAAGACAGTTCTGCTGGGGTGAGGAGGCTTTAGCAGGAGCTCAGCAGCCTTGCCTACGGCCCCACGTGGCGCTCTCTGGGACTGGGTGATGATGGATCTGTGACCCTGCTCACTTTGCACCTGCCGGGTAGGAAAGCATCCCCCTGCCCCTGCACACATGCACATGCACACATGCGCACATTCACACATGTGCGTGCACTCACTAGTGAGCAGGCAGGCTGGCCCATCTGCCAGTCAACCCTCCTTGCCGATTTCCCGGCTGGCAGCAGTGGAGGTGGTGTGTAAATCATTCAGAGCCCCTATCAGCTCCGCCAGGACATGGAGCTCTTTTTAATGAAGAAGAATGGAGGATGCTCCTGGCTCTGGAAATGGCAACATTAACTTACTAATGAGTCTTTAAAGAGACGTGTCTGAGTAGGCTGTGCCACCTGCCCATGTACAGTCTCTGATACTCTGTAGAGCAGACTGGACCCTGGGGAAGACTACGTGGGGTCCGGGGAGGGGGTCAGAGAGGGGCCCTGCATTGAAGATGGAGAAGAAAGGACCCCTCTTGGCCCAGGAGCTAATGTAGCCCAGCCTAGTGAGCTGGGACCAAATGGTATATTTTCCTCTCTAAAGAAAGGGCCGGATTGCAATGTGAGTTGAACCCTTGAGTCCTCCCAGAGAGCTGTGGGGCACAAGAGGCATTCCAGAAAGGTCAAAACACAGTAGAAAGCATGATTAGACTTCCAGACAGGCACTCAAACACCACGAGGAACAGACTATCACTAACCAAGTGGGAAGTAACGGCCACAGGCCAGGGAAAGGCTCCCCATACGGCCCCTGCAGTGGCTGGACCCACTTTCCTTTAGGAGAACAGCTGACACAGAGAGGGCATGCTATGGCCCTGGATGCACAGCCCAGGCAGGTATGATAGATGTGTGTCCTGTGTCCTTTCATCTCCACTGTCTCCCAGAGGCACCATGGCCTCCCCGCCCCACTCCGTGTGGCTGTTCTCAGTGTCTTGCACCGCTGGCCAGGAAATTCCTCACGGTTTATAACTAACACTCAGGCTTTATTACAAGCCCCATTTCCTCTTCAATGCCTGCAATCAACACAGGAAACTACCTCAGGTCTCATCCCGCGCACAGAACAAGGGAGGAATGTGCGGCTCCTACCCCTGCTTCTCAATTTCCAGGAGTCTAAAGACCAAGAGGATCCTGTCCCCACCCTGTGGGCAGAGACATTCCTTAAATGATATCCATTAAGTCCCTCTAGGTTCCGGAGTCATGCTATGAACTGGAGCGGGAGGCAGACCGGAGATTGGTGGGGAGGAGGGAGAAGGTCCTGAAGGAATGTACTCAATTCTCTCTGACCGAGACTGCGTCCTAGAGACTAGATGCTCCAATGTTCTCCCTCAGGTGGTGGGGGCTCAAGATGCAGGTCATGCCTCTGATTACCACCCCTGTGCTGCTGACCCCATCCAGTTTGATTGGGCCCTAATCCTTCCCTGGGCTGATTTCCAGACTGACGGGGCGGGGCTGGGGGCCCACCAAGCTTGGATTGCTGGTGATGAGACAGCCATCTTCCCTCCCAACTAGATCAAGCGTCTGCTCGGGATCAAGCTCAGATCAAGCGTCTGCCCGGGAACGCCCCCTGGCGACCACCCCGTGAAGGGCCACTGGTGTCCTCTAGATGGACCTGCACTTTCAGGCCTCAGTGGAGCAACCTCAGTTAGTGGAGAAGAAAGACATCCCCCTGTAAAATAACCCCAACACGATGGGCTGCAGGAGGCTGTGGACCTCCAGACCACCTACCCTATGGAGGTGGGTCCAGTTCCTGGGCACACTGGCCTGAACAAAGCAAGCTAGAGACACTCACTATCTCAGGAAAAAGGAGGAAATGCTCCTTTCCATAGTCCCTACAACGTGCTCAGTGTTCAGCGACTCTCGGAGGTTAGGGTGTCTCCTCAAAATATACCCTACTCTGGGACTCCGTAAGTTCCCCAACAGGCACCCATCTGTGTTCTCCATCAGTGGGGTCACCACTCTGAGAAGATGCTTGGTATTCTATACTGTGTCTCCACTCACTGCCTCCTCAGAAGAGACCTGGCTTCGGCAAGGCTGGAGTCCATGGGAAAGTGAGCAGGCACTTAGTAGGTGCTCCCCAAAACTGCACCTGCTGCTTATCGTATGACAGTTGACCTTGACAAAGACAAGGTCGGAGTCTTTTACAAAGTGACTGACTATCTGGGGCTAAGCAGCTTCAAGTTTGATTAAGACTTCAGTATCACAATAACACAGGTCCACAGCACCACAGACCTACTCTGTGGGGACACTTGGGACATTTCTCTCCCGTCCTTTCCTCCTCTCATCACATCTAAAAGTCAAACTCGCTTGTTTTGGTGCTGGGAAGGTGACCCAGGGCTTTGGTTATGTCACAGATACCCTCCACTAGGTATCCCAATCAAAAACTCTACAATTAATTCGTTAATTTATTTATTGATTTATGTGGGGGCGGGGCATGGCATGCATGTAGAAAACCTGGGAGAGTTGGTTCTCTCCTTTCATCATGTGGGTTCCAGAGATAGAACTCAGATTGTTAGGTAAGCACCCTTAATCACTGAGCCATCTCGTCTCCCAGCCCCCAAGAAATACTTTTTTAAGAGAGAACGGAAACCGGAAACCCGTGCCGGGTTGCTGTGCGAGATCTTAGAGCAAGAACGATTTAGGTTTGACCTGAGGAAGAACTTCTGATTGGGAGAGTGAGTCCGCAGCAGAAAAGGGTGGTGAGAAATCAAAGGACACACTGGACTCCCTCTGGGCCTGGCACTCCTGCCCCCCCCCCCCCCATGCACCAGGCGCAGAAACTGCAGGTGACTCAGGGAATCTTAAGCGGTGGTTGCTAGGTTACAAGCTTCTTTAATGTGCCTCAATGTAAAGACTAAGGGATGGGGATGTTACCTGGTTGGGAGGAAGAGCATGGGGGAAGGAAAGAGAGAAAAGAAACCAGCCAGACTTCCAGAATTAGCAAATTGGGCATAGCCTGGAGGCAAACTGTTTTTTGTTTTTTTTTCTCTACTTTTCCACAGTGAGTCTCTTGACCCCTATGGTTTGCACAGAGTAAAGCCTATGGATGTGAGCACTGAGCTGGAACAGCGCCCTCCAGGACTGGACTCTGGTGTCTCCCCAGGTGAGACACTTAACAGTCACTAGGGTCCCTATGGGCTCTGTTCGCCTTCCCTCTGCAATTAGACAGATGACCAGAAACCAGATGAGAACGGAAACGCCCAGCCTCCTCACTAACGCATAATCTGTTCATTTGTGATCTGGACTCTTCAGCCCAGAGGCTTCTGAATGAGTTGCCAGCTTTAAGTGAAGCACTCCCCGAGTGTCAGACCCTCCTCTGCAAAACACAGATGCTCGAAGATGCCTGGCAGTCTCCCTCCAGTTGAAGATTATGAGAAAGTGGATGTGCAGGGGCTGAGCTCCGGGAAGTCTGCCCACCTGCTGGGAGGGTGTGAGGGTGTGAGAAACTGCTTGGCTTTGCTGCTTCTGTGAAGCTCACAGGCAAGTGAGGCTGAAGACAGACCCCAACAAACACATTTGAGAAGACTGTGCTCCCCTTCATCCTGGTCACCCCAAACTACAGCTATGAAACTGATTCAGTTCGAGCAAAGAGTCCATCCACATTTCTCTGGGCAGGCTAGGCCTCTAAGAATGTTGGGAGGTACCCACCAGAGAAGACTACTTGGACATGGCCTCAAGCTACTAGGAAGTCTTTATACACTGAGTGTTCAGGACCCGAGGACAGTCCTGAGACTTTCTCAGAGTGGGCTTTTAAGCACAAAAACCACATCCCGAGTTGACATATCGCATTTAGCAAGAACAGTTAGCCAGAAGCAGAACTGCAGAAGCACAGAATCAAGGTCAGTACATTCAGGGACTTTCCCAGAACTGTGGACTTTGATGGATTTAGGTCTTTGGTCTCATTTTGGCAGGTGGTCCTGCCTGCATGCTGGGTTCCAAGGCCTGAATGGTTCTTCCATCATGGCCTCAGTTGTTCTAAGGCCTGGAAGCCTTTCACATGAACATGAAATGGTTGGTATTGTCTGTGAAACTTCGTGAATTTAGACTACACTCTCAGAATTTGTGAGTTCTTACCGAATAGGGGAAAACAGAACATAGTCTCTTCTGTGGATGATCTAGATGTTGATTTTGCAAATACATGAACTAAGCTTTAAAAATAAGTAGAATTGTTAGCTCAAGAGCTCAAGATAGTAAGATAGGCCTATTTTGAGTTACAGCTTCTATTTCTCACAGAAGTCGCAGTGGTAGTATGGGCACTGACAGAAATGTACCAGGCCTGTGCTCTCTGTCAGAGGGTCTGGGGAACACTTGACAACTATTACCTCTTTTAACCCTCACAAAAACTTATACCATGGAATGCCACAAAGAAATACAGGAGAAAAATCTGTTATAGAGGCACACACCTTTAATCTCAGCACTCAGGAGGCAGAGGCAGATGGATTTCTGTGAATTCAAGGCCAGCCTGATCTACACAGAGAGTTCCAGGACAGTCAGGCCTACATAGACAGACCCTGTCTCAAAAGAAAAAAACAGGAAAGGAAAAGAAGAACTGGGTTTGGTGGCACAGGTCTGCAGTCCTTGCACTTGGAGGCTGTAGCAGGAAAATTGAGTTCCAGTCAAGTGAGACCATGTTTCAGAAAAACAGAGGAAGGGTGGAGGGGGCAGGGCAGAGATCCTTTCCACAACTTGGATGATGGTACTCCAGGAGTGAGTTTAGGGGTAAGGGGACTCTAAAAGTTTACATGCTGTATGATTTTATCCATAGAACATTCTTTTCCTTCTTGAGACAGAGTCTGGATAGTCCAGGATGGTCTGGAACACAATATATAGCAAGGATGGCCTTGAACTTCTGATCCTCCTGTCTCCACCTCCCAAGTGCTGCGATTGTGGTCATACCTCACCGGGTTTTCCGTCACTGTGTCAGGCACCAGGTTTTATGCAGGGCTGGGGATGGAATCCAGGATTTTGTACACGCTAGATAAACACTCCACCAAGTAAGCTACAGTCCCAGCTCCTTGTACAAGATGGCTGAAGCAACAAGATTTCAGAAATGGGTTGTCAGGGGCTGGGGAAGGAAGAGCGAAGAGGAAGTATGGAGTTGGACCAGATATCAAAAGGTGACACGGGACCCTTGTAATAATGAAAATGTAATCTGCTTGTGGATTGTATTTTAGCTTGCCAGGATATTAGCACTGGGGGACCCTGGATAAAGAGAACTTCTTTCTTATAACCACGTGTGAATCTACAGTTGATCACAAATGAAAGTTTAGTGCCTTGCATGTGCACAGCCCTGAGATCCATCCCCAGCTTTGGGGGAAAATACACACCATACCACGCACACACAGTGCAAAGTCTGTCCTGCTCTCAAGCTTGGGATTTTCCAGGTGGAAGGAAACCAGACAGGAGGACCCTGTGGACTTGGAGAGACACACCACTAGGTGGTCCGGTGTGTTACTGGCACTTGTATTACTGGGGAACCACAGTTCTGAAGGGTCTGTTGCTGGGTACAGGTTTGAAGAGGTTGTCTATCCAGTCCTGTGGTTGGTGCCAAGAGCCAGGATTTGCTAATCAGGTTTGCCCTTCTAGTGATGTGTGTGAAGGTTTTGGGGTGGGGGTGGGGGAGATCCTCCCAGTCGTCTATTGGTATGTTCAGTTGTGGTCCCCCTGTCTGTGACTTTATCAGCGGCGTTGTGGACGTGTCCACTCAGGAGGGAAGGCAGGTTCTGGGTGAGCTGCATGCATACGCGTGCCGATTGTTCGCTCTGCGGGTCCCCTGCTGCATGCATGTCACTGCCTCCTAACTGGGCTCTGAGGTTTGACCGTGTGAGAATACCTCCCCCCAAACAAAGCCAGCTTGTCACGAACTGGGTCTGTGTACTGTAGACAAACCGGGTAATTGGGCTCTCCGCCTCCTCACCCAAAACAAACACTCGCAAACGCCCGCCCCCACGCTGGCGGGATCTGCCTGTCATCTGGGCACCGGCTCCTGCTCCGGCTGCCTCCGACCCCGGAGACACGGCAGGCCCTGCCCTCGCCCGCCCCGGCTGCCGGGGCTGACGCACAGGCCACAGCCTCCGCTGCGGGGCGCGTGGGCTCCTGCCCAGGTGTGGCGGCTGCGGGGAGGCGGTGCGGGGAGCCGGCGTCCTCCGGCCGGCCGGGACTCGGTGTCTAGCAGCCGCTCGCCTGCGCGGGTGACAGCGGCGTGCGGGCCGGGAAGAGCAGGGCACGCTGTCCCCGGCTCCGCGGCTGCCGGGCTGCCGGTGAAAGCCGTGCGTGGCTTGCGGGCACCGCCCGGGAGCTAGTGAGGGGCGAGCGCGGCGCCCACGCGCGGCGGGGTGGGCTCCGCGCTCCCGGGGACCGGGCGGGGCGGGGCTCATCCTGCAAAGTTGACCCAGGGCGGGCTACCGCCGGCGTCCTGCTGCCCTAGATTCGCCGGGTTCTTCCCGCGGAGCCAGGGGTGGACGTCGCCGGCCCGCTGACACCCGAGGGACCCGGAGAAGCCAGCGGGCGTCGGCGGAAGCCCGCGCAACGCGAGATGGAGGCTGCAAGAGGGGACGTGCGGGCCGGCGCCGAGTAGCCCGCGGGCCCCGGGGCTGGACCTTGCCCGGACGCTGTGAGGGCGCGCGAGCAGGGCCCTCCCCCGGGCTGCCATGGAGGTGCCCAATGTCAAGGACTTTCAGTGGAAGCGCCTTGCTCCACTGCCTAGCCGCCGGGTCTACTGCTCACTGCTGGAGACCGGAGGGCAGGTCTATGCCATCGGGGGATGTGATGACAATGGGGTCCCGATGGACTGCTTCGAGGTCTACTCCCCCGAGGCCGACCAATGGACCTCCCTGCCCTCCCTGCCCACAGCCAGGGCCGGGGTAGCGGTTACTGCCCTAGGAAAGCGGATTATGGTGATCGGGGGTGTGGGCACCAATCAACTGCCTCTGAAGGTCGTGGAAATGTACAATATCGATGAGGGCAAGTGGAAGAAGAGGAGCGTGCTGCGTGAGGCTGCCATGGGCATTACTGTAACAGCTAAAGGCAAGTGGGGCCAGGGTTGAGGGTGGGCGTAGAGAAGGAAGTAATGGGCCACAGGGAAAACGGATGGAATGCAACATGATTTGGGCGGCCAATAGCACGTTCCCCGTCACATTTGAGCCTTACATTAAGCACTAAAACTAGAGACCCATTGCCCTTATTTTACAGATTGGGAAGGGAGGCTGAGCAGGTGAAATGTCTAGGAATTCCATCTGATGCCAGGAGTCAGCTCCAGCGGGTTCCTCCTGGCAGCCTGGGCAGGCCACTGCAGAGGGAGCACCAAGGTGTGAGCTGTGGGGTTATCTGCAATGACTCTGCATACCCTGGCATTCAGCCGAATGACCACATTCCCCGTTGGCACCCCCCACCCCCAACCTACCTAAGTAGGTTCCTGAGGATGCTCATCCCATCCTTCTACCAACACCAGGTCTGCAGAGGAGGCTTTGGGACCGGATCCCAGGATCTTCTTTAACTCCTGACTGCAGTGTCAGTGGTGCTGAGGGCAGGTCAGAATGTCCCAAAGGTGGATTCGTGGGGTGGAGCGTCCGGGTCCACCAAGTTCTGTGGACTGCATGTGGTTTTTAAATTCTCATTTGACCTTTTTTGGGGGAGCTTCTAGAGCCTATAGAGGGGGTCCAACAGCTGTTTTGCTGAAAACACAGAGTTTGATGAGAATGAGGGTTAAGAGACCCCCAAGTTCACATACGCTTGCCCCCACCCTGTAGACGTTGCTTCTTTAGCAACACGACCCCAGCTGCCTGTGTGGCATCCAGCAGATCAGAAACCAGCCTTTCTTCAACGCCTGTTCTGTCCCTGGCACACTCCTAGGTCACAAGGAGAAAGGAAGAGAGTGGAAAATCTGGGCCCTGGAAGTAATTGGCGAGAAGTTGGGGCCCAGAACTCCCTTGGGCAGGGTAGACAGTAGGGTTTCCATGATCTGCCAGTTAGAAAGATGAAAAGCCAGGCCTGGTGCTGAAGGCCTTCAATCCCAGCTACTCTGGAGGCTGAGGCAGGGGAGCGGCAAGTTCAAGGCTTGCCTAGGCTGCAGAGTGAGTTCAGCAGACGGAGGCCAAAGGATTGTGAGTTCAAGATATATAGTAAGAACCTATTAAAAAAAAAAAAAAAAAAAAAAAAGGATGGGAGACTCAGAGGCCCAAGGGGACACTGAGAATAATGAGTATGGACTATACTCCATCCCTAGCTTCGTTAAATCATACTAAAAGTTAAAAATCAAGGCGTACCTTTGGTGCTTTATCCCTGTATCCAATGAGATAAGTGCTATTTTTATTCTGTTTCAGAAGCAGCAGCAGGAAGCCCTGAAAGGTTAATTACCCGAGGTTAAATAGATAGTAAGTCACGACCATGCTCCAAACTAGAAAGTCAAATGAATTCAACAGTTAGGTTGGTAAACGTGTACATGTCAACCGTTGTACTGAGTTCATAGATTAACAAATTCTCAAGGACCTTCGTTGTATTGGGAGGAACAGGTCAAGCTGGTATCAGTTCCATGCAGTCACAGAGCAATGGAGATACCATTACCCAGGAGGCACCAAGCCAAGTCCCCTGGGCCCCCTGCTTTGCCGCTCAGGGAATCCCAGTTGAGGTTCAAAGGATGGGTCAGAACTGGCCGCCGGCCTGAATGACTGTGGAGTGGATAGAGTTTTTCCAGAAGGGGGTGTTCCTAGAAGGGAAGGTGGAATTTGTGCTAATCAGGTGCTCGTCATCAGGCCCTTTCCCAGCCTTAGGCTTAGGGTTAGGATCCCCCTACCCACCCCTAGTATGGCTAGAAAGTAGAGAGAGAGATAGGGTTGCTCACGTTGTCCAGCGGTAACATCCAAGAGTCAAGGCACCACAGAGAGAAAGGCTGTGAGCAAGGGCTGCTGGGAGCAAGAACCACAAACAGGTACTGAAGATTCCTGAGAGGAAACCCATTCAGGCAAGGGCTGGGGAATCGCGAATGTTAGTCCATGCTCTTTGGTACAATGTGCGGAGTCCCTGAGAAGCTGCCTACTGCCAAGAACAGAGGAAAAAAGAGGGGACTCCCTGAGGGGACTCCCTGCTTAGAGAACCTAGCTCTCTTAGGGCAAGGTTTCTGAAGGGTCAGTTCCCCAAAGCCGCCTCCTCCTCCTCCTCCTTCTCCTCCTCCTCCTCCTCCTCTTCCTCCTCCTCCTCCTTCAGACCTGGCCTTATCATCCCGTTCAGCACAGGGGCCTCCTGGATCCTGCAAGCTTCTGTACATGTGAAGGAGAATGCCATTCCCCCACTGGGGTAGCAGACAGAACTGCTGACAGGCCAGGGCCGGTGACTGGGGCCAGCTATCGTTCTGAAGGACTTCACCATGGCTGGAGACTTAATGTCTGAGAGTTCCTATGGGATCCTATGGGACAGGTCACCCCTGGAGGTCTCCCCTCGCCTTCCCTCTGGGTGCCTGGACAGGGGGACAGGAGGACAGGGGGACAAACCTAGACTTAGGCTTCCCTGTCATCCGTCTCTGCGCAGGGTTTAGTGTATCAGGCTTTGCTAAGGACTTGGCACTCATGAAGGCCGAGGCACAGTCCTGCCACAACTTCAGGAAGACCCAGATTTAGCCATAACAGGGACTTTGAATGGTGTTACCCACCCCACCAAGACAGCTGGGATTCATTAGCAGAGCAGTGTCCGGAAGTTGGCGTGGCCTATGGAAGGAAGGTTATAGGTTCTGTTGGGCCTGTCTCTGGGTGCCTGCAAGCCAAACTGTCTCAGTGTATGTGTGTGTGTGTTTGTTTCTTTTTCTTAGATTATCGAGTGTATGCTGCAGGTGGGATGGGCCTGGACCTTCGTCCACACAACTACTTGCAACACTATGACATGCTAAAGGACATGTGGGTGTCGCTGGCACCCATGCCCACTCCGAGATATGCTGCCACCTCCTTCCTCCGGGGCTCCAAGATCTATGTGCTGGGTAAGGACAAGCTCATTGTTCATTTCTTCTCCTTGCTCCCTTGGGTGAGTTCCCTGGGAAGCAATGCCCACAGCCCAAGAATTTCCCTGGCCCTGGGGGATAATCACACTGTTCCAGCCCTTGAGGAGTCTTTCAAATGACCGAATAACAGAAGGGAAATCCCAGTCCTATTGGTTCTCAGGGACTGCTTTTTTTTTTCTTTGTCCACCGTGTACCCTGTTCCCACCTCCAGGGGGACGACAGTCTAAGTATGCGGTCAACGCCTTTGAGGTCTTTGACATAGAATCTCGGTCCTGGACCAAGTTCCCCAACATTCCCTGTAAGCGGGCTTTCTCCAGCTTTGTGACCCTGGACAACCACCTGTACAGCCTGGGAGGCCTGCGACAGGGTCGTCTCTATCGGCAGCCCAAGTTCCTCCGGACAATGGATGTGTTCGACATGGAACAGGGTGAGCTGGATTCCCACCCCCTTGGCTGCTTGCCTCTCTTCTGACTGATGCCCACTTTCCCCATCCTGGCAGATCTTCCTGGGGCCGCTTACATATCCAGGCAGGCCTCTCTTCAGTGTCTAAGCATCCTTCCTAACTCACGGATGTGCTTGCAGTCAAATTCTATTCCAGGCTCCTTTGGCCTGGCTGGCTCTTTCCACGATGGCCCTTCCGCCTCCACCCCCAGTACCTGTGCAGGACCAGGTTAGGAAGGGACTCTTCCTGTGCTGATGGAGAATCAGAGGGATCCTGGTTTCTCCATTCACCACCTTTAATCAGATTCCTCTCCAGTTTAGAACCGCGGAAAACCTAAATAGAACAGGGGCTCATGGGAACTAAATATGTTAGACTGTGTCAGGCACCAGAGAAGGCTGAGGTGGTAGAGGATGTCATTTCAATCAGCAGGGGATGTTCTCTGCATCCTGAACACAAGGGAGTAGCCGCCCAGGGTAAGAGCCACTTGGGGTTCATCTGTATTTGTTAGGGGACATGAGCACCTAATCCTCCGTCTCTGCCCTGTCACTATGCATGCTTGCAGGGGGATGGCTGAAGATGGAGCGCTCCTTCTTCCTCAAGAAGCGCCGGGCAGACTTCGTGGCTGGTGGCCTGAGCGGTCGGGTCATAGTGGCTGGGGGACTCGGTAAGGATACATCATCGCCGCTGTGCTGTGCTGTGCTGTGGTTCTGGTCCTTGGCACTGCATGTGACTGTAGTGACTTCTTGCATGCCTCCCGCTGCTTTACTCCAGAGAATTCAATACAGTCTGGACTTGACCTTTCCACGTGGGCCCCCGTGGGTTCTTTCAATTCCGTACTAGGAAAATGGAGACCCAGAAAGGATAAGGGACATACTGATAACTGTGAACCCCTGTGCTGGACCCAGGTCCCCGAGTCCCTTTCTGGGGATAGCTGGAGACAAAGGGTCAAGGGATCAGTTGTCAACCTTCATGGACCCAGCTCTTCTTGGACATCCAGCTGGATCTTGGGATGGCAAAGCAAATGATCAAATAAATGGTCCTAATTCTGGATTTGATGTATAACTCCTCCCTCTCAAAGACTGCTGGTATTTTGAAGGCTGGACTGCAGCGTGAGGCACACTGAAGTCACAAGGGCACTGTGACAAAGGCAGTGGGGCTTCCAGGCAGCCGGCGTTTACTCGATGTAGACATACCCCACTATACTCATTCATGAACAACCATATAAGCTAGGTTAGTGTGTGTGTGTGTGTGTGTGTGTGTGTGTGTGTGTGTGATCAGGAGGGAGGAAGTAGTGCTCTAGAAACCCAAACGGTAACCAAGAGTGAAGAAAACAATCTCCCCCAAGACAGGGTTTCTCTGTGTAGTTTTGGTGCCTCTTCTGGAACTTGCTCTGTAGACCAGGCTGGCCTCGAACTCACAGAGATCCGCCTGGCTCTGCCTCCCACTAACACTCCTGTCCTTAAAATGCAACTGAAGAGAGAAGGAGCACAGGACAAAGTTGCTTGACAGGAATTCTTGGCCCAGGATGCCAAAAGGGGGGACCATCCTGTAAAAAGACAAGGAAGTTGCTTGGCTTTTGCTTCTGGGTTGGGAGATGGTCACTGTGGGACATGGCTTGGCGGTTGGGCTCCCAGGTCTAAGATCCGATTCTCCTGTTGTTTTCAGGAAACCAGCCCACTGTCCTGGAGACAGCAGAAGCGTTCCACCCAGAGAAGAACAAGTGGGAGGCCCTCCCTGCCATGCCCACCCCCCGCTGTGCCTGCTCCAGCATTGTCTTCAAGAACTGCCTCCTGGCGGTGGGGGGTGTCAGCCAGGGTCTGAGTGACGCGGTGGAGGCGCTGTACGTCTCCGACTCCTAGCTGGCCCGAGCTTGGCTGGACAGCGTCACTCCGCTCCCGACACGAGGAATAGTCTCATCAGAGCAGTTTGGACTACATCCTCGGTCTCCAACTCCTGTTAAGAGCCAGTGGGGCCAAGCCCTAGGGCTCTCAGTGACCTCCCTCTGTCCCCTAACCTGCCAGTCCCAGAAAGCTGAAGAAAGTGCAGTTGACTGCACCAGTAAGTTAGAGCTGGGCTGTGGTCTGGGGAG